GCACACCAGATCCCATGCTCTGGGATTCCAAACATATTGAACAAAACCTCAATGACTAACAACCACAGGCTAGAGAACATGCCTGGCAGAGGACAGCCCCTTCCCTGTCTCCTTGGTACCCAACAAACCCTCTGACACATCAATAGTTCTCATGGGGCAGCACAGAAAATCCAATGGGTCAAGTGTTGAGCAGTGGCAGAAAAGGTCTTCCCCATACCACATTGGCCCTTTGTGGTCTATCGGTCAGTGATGAGGAGGCAAAAGAAAATTCTGATTGGAATGGAAAGGAGCACAGCCTCTGAGCATCAGATGGCCTGGGATTCACTCATTCCTTCGTGTGATGTTCATGCGTACTTAATTGCTTTGGGGAGTGGGATGCAATAGTGACTCAAAAGACAAAAAATGGTGCTGGGGTGGTGGCTCAGTGGTAGAGTGCTCGCCGAGCATGCAGGAGGCACTGGGTTCTATCCTCAGCACCACATAAATGTAAAATAAAGATATTGTGTCCACCTCAAACTAAAAAATAAATATTTTTTTTAAAAAAAGACAAAGAATGTTCTCCCTAGTAGAACTTACAATTTAGTTGAGACAAACAAGCAAATGAATACATAATAGGTAGCTGGTTAGACACTGAGAGGTATAAAATAAGGCTACAAAGGAGGATGGGGCTGTCACTTTAAACAGTGTGGTCGGGTAAAGTTCTCTGAAAAAGTGACCTGGGGAAAGGCAAGAGGTAAGAGACAGACTTAGAGGGAAAAACACAGCAGCTGGGGAAAGGCCTCGACACAAATTTGCTACAAAAGAAGGAGCTGGGACGGAAGATCCCAAAGGCTGGTGATCAACTCTCAAGTGTGCCTTCCACTCCCTGTGTCCTTCCAGCCATCAAAGCCAATCCCCCAAATCCCTATCCTCCTTTCACCTGCACACAGGAAGTTCTTCTAATGTCTCCTGTCTTCATGGGACCAACCCTACCAGAAGCCTTCCTTGGCTTGTGCCACCTGCTGTTCCAGGTTAGCATGGATGCCACAATTCCCATGATAAAGTACACATCCCCTTGCCCCTTCTGCACAATGCATCAGACTGCTATTGTCTATCTACGCGCCTCCAGTCTGAACTCTCCAAAGGCTGATTGCTCCTTACTAATCTCCATCTCCCCACTCCTATCATGGTGCTTGGTGCATAATAGTCACTCACTAAACACTTGACAAATCATGAATGTTCAATGCATAGGTGACTTCCTTGAGGGCAGGGCCTGGGTCTGATTCATCTCAGTAACCCCAGAAGGTAGCAGAGCACCTGGCACAAGAGGAGACACCAGGTGTGCTACACGATTTGGGATTTGCCCTGTAGTTTATCCAGACAGCCAAGTCATCCTCAACCCCTAAACATAGAGGTGCAGGACCAATCCAGATGTGGTCCCCTGGGGTGCAGGCCAAGGCTCAGAGGCAGGAAGCAAAATTTATGCTTATAGATGCTGTGGGGTTTTTCATATTCGAATTCACGTTAATATCTAACAAACCTTAACCTCATCCTTAAGCTTCTGTGCCCAGATATAATTTGGTGTTTGGGGCATGGTTTTTCCAAGCTACCCATTTTGCAAATCAAAACCTAATATGGAGTGCCCTTCAAAGCCAGGGAGGCCATAGATGGCAGCTGCAGGAGTGGGGCCAGCTAGTGTTTCTCGTCTCCTGCTGTCTTCAAACTGTATGCAATGTAGGTGTTTGTCCCTGAGAACTTCCCATCTTCTTTTTAACACAGAGAGCATTTCAAAACTCTTGCAAAGTGGACACAGTTGATAGAGTGCTTGCCTTACATGCACAAGGCCCTGGGTTCAAGCCCTAGCACTACACACAGACAAAAAAAAAAAAAAAACTCTTTCTAGTAGAACCACAGAGATGTTGAGATGAGATGTGTAGACACCATCTAATCCCACTCTTTCATTTGACAGATGAGGAAAGTGAAGTCCAGGTAGGAAAAGTGGCAAGAACGCTGTGGAACAGACAGGACAATCTCCACTTGATAGATGAGTGCCCCGAGTCTCTAAGCTAATCCCCCACTTCTGGTTCCTGATTCTATAGTAATGCCTGTTGGATTCTCTCTGTATGTTCAGAAGTGGTCTCCCAACCCTTCAAGGTCACATTAGCAAAAGCATAGGGCTTACTGGAGGAGGCCAGGGTCCATTTGCCCAACTCCTACTTCCTGAAACACAACATAAAAGCATCAGGGAGGGTGGAAGGGCTTCTCTAACTGACTACAGGATCTTCCACCTCCTCTGACAGGCAGCTACAGTGCCTTGGAACTTTCTTTACAAAACTTTGCAAATTGGTTATTATAAGGGATGAGGTTTCTGTGTCACATCACCCTGGCAAACAGTACCACTCTCATCTTTAGCCTTTTGCTTCAGAGGTTGTTTCAGGCCAAGGTGACTTTACAGGTAAAAATGAGTTGTGTGTAGGGACGTGTACATGTGGGTGTCTGAGGGTTGTAAATGTTGAATGGGTACATGTTCCCAAGAGTTGCTAAGAGTGTGCACTGTGGCATGACGACGTGGGAGGAGTGATAAAAGGCTTATTAGGAGATGAGGGATCAGGGTCTCATCTCATTTTCCCTCTCTCTTCCTTTCCTTCCTTCCTTCCTTCCTTCCTTCCTTCCTTCCTTCCTTCCTTCCTTCCTTCCTTCCTTCCTCTTTCCTTCCTTCCCTTCTTTCCTTTCTTCCTTGTTACCTTCAAACAATAGGAAGGTGTCAGAATTTTTTCTTCCCTCAGAGACATGCAAATAAATCTTCAAGTCACTCCTTATAGCTGGGCATGGTGGCATATGCATGTAATCCCAGCAGTTTTGGAGGCTGAGGTATAAGGATCACAGGTTAAAGAGACCAGCCTCAGCAACTTAGGGAGACCCTTTCTCAAAATAAAAAATAAAATGGGCTGGGGATGGAGCTCAGTGGTAGAGTGCCTCTGGGTTCAATCCCCAATACAGAAAAGAAAAGAATAAAAAAGGAGAAGAAAGAAAAGGAGAAGGTGAAGAAGAGAAAGAGGAAGAGGTGAAAGAAGAAGACAGAAAATCACTCCTCACTCATGATTTATACAGAGACTCTTTGCCATAACCTCAGCTGGTAAAGGGGTGATGGTGGAGTGGGGTACATGGGCCTGGTGGAGAGGGTAGGGACGTCTCAACCATTAAAGCAGTTGTGTAGAAAAGCAAGTCTCCTTCAGTTGAAAATGGAGTTAGGATCAGAGGTTATCTTCCCCAAGCTTATCCTGATGAGATTTGTCTGTGTTTGGTTTCGGTTTTTGTAGCACAACATAATGGAAAGAATAGACCACAATGTGGATTCATTTCAAGATTAAACTTCAGGTAGCTTTTCTGTCTCTTACTGGCTGCAGAATTTTGTTACTTCTTAGATTTGGGTTTCTTTGTTTCCAGAAAAAGGAAAATCAAAACACATCTCATCAGACTCCTGACAGCATGTTACCATATAAGCTAGATACAGTCCCCTGGTTTCGGGAGCCCCCAAAATAGGCTCCCCCAAAACATCATCTTCACCTTTGGGGCAGCTGTAAAGAACATCCTGCCCAGTGTTGGCTTCAAAATAATCCAATGTTTTTCTCTTGGAATAAAATGAAGGAACATTAAAAAGAAAAAAAAATGAACCCATACCCAACTCTTCTAAGCACTTTTACAAAACACTGAAATTACATTTGTAAAATTGCTTCCAGCTCTGGGTAAAATATACACATGCAGCAGGAACATAAATACTTTGCTAAATTATCTTTTCTAAAGTCAAAACAAAAACAAACCAACAAACAAAAAGAATGGAAGGAAGTGCTATTCATGAATAAAAGATCCAGGGGTAATGTTTTCACAGGTTGGGGCCACCTTTAAGCTCTGTATCCTAGGTACCTGAAAGCCAGGGCTTCCAGGCTTGGAAAAGAGTGGGGGTCACAGGGGGAAGCAAAAGAGAACGAGACAATCTCTCTGTTGTGTTTTTCCAATTCCTAATTATGCTTTTTAAATAAGTTGAAATCAAAACGATCTTTTTTCAAACAGCTAATGCTCTTCCGAGCGCTCTGTCTGACTTCTCAACACCTTCTCACTCTGAACTCCACCAAGGCAGCTGGAAGCAGGAAGTGCCCTGGCACACAGACCTCATTGAGGGGAGAGGAAAGGCAGAGAAAACCAAACTTAACTGACAAAGAAAAACAAACAGCCTGCTGTCAGGCAGCTGGGGAGAGGAGGGTGCTCCTCCTGCACCGCCCAAGCATCCCAGGAAATCAAGGCAGATGTAGCCAGGGCAAGGGCAGCTTGTGAATTCAAACCATGGCTCCACCCCTGGCTGAAGAATCTCAAATGTGCTCCTTGGTCTCTCTGGACCTTCATCTCTTGATTCAAGAAATAGGGATAAGGATTCTGTACTTGACAGTGTTGTGAGGAGGCCAGGTGTCCTCAACGATGCTTTGAGTAAAACTCAAAACCACTCTCTGTGGTCAGATGATGATGATGATCTTTAAGGAAGATGGAGAACTGATACAGGGAATATTGGGAGGAGCTGGATCACAAGGCTTGGATTTGAGCAGCTGTTCTGGTGTTTATGCAAATTTTGGTGGATTCTCTGAGCCTGACTTAGTTATCTTTTCCCACAACAGAGAGGATATTATTTATAACATAAAGTTATTTTCTAAGGATCAAATGAGTTAATGGATTTCCAGAAAGCAGGGCTTGTACCATGAAAGCATATGAGCGTCTTCATCGCTTTATAATTTCAAAATGGATTCGCAATCCTTACCAAGAAAGATGGCAGATGCTATTTTTATGTGAAAAGTGGAAGAAGCCTGGAAAATAAAATAACTTCTGCTCAGGCAGTGGCCAAGCCCAGAATAAAACCTAACTTTGTTAGCAAACCTCTCTTTCCAGGACTTCACAGTGAAGTCTGTCCCTAATGATTCTGAGGGATTCAAGCCAGGACTGGACTCGGTGCTAATCAGAGGGTAGGTACTTACCACCAGATACAGCATAGTGTACATGGAGAAGGAGGCGTGGCCAGAGAAGAAGGACTTCCTGCAAGAGCAAGAAAGGGCCATGAAAGGGCATATTCACATCCCTGATACTCGCTTGTCTGTCTTCCCTCCCTAGACTGTGACCTTGAGAGCAGGCACTGTGTCTTGTTCATTCTTGCATCTGTGGTGGTGCTTTGGACACATGCCTGGAACATAGCAGGCAGGCATGAATAAATAAAAGAAAGAATAAATGAATGGACTTAGCAATGCTGTATCATAATGGTTTCTTTACATATCTGTCTCAATCATGTGACTCAATCTTGAATCCTGCAAGAATAGGGTCTGGGCCCTTATTTACCCATTGAAACCAGAGCCCAGCACTACAGGTGCTCAGTGGGTGCTCTGTGAACTGCTCTGCATTGAAGGGGGTGCACGCTGTGGCCACTGGGAAGTGCTGAGGTGGTGCCTCACCTGGCTTCCTGCACCTTGCTGTCATCGCCTCTGCATCTGTAGTTCTGAATGTAGCCCTCGGAGCAGTTGATCTGGCTGAAGTCGGGATTGCAGACACTCAAGAAGTGAGGGCGCAGACGTCCTATGGACACTTTGGCAATGTCCGTGAAGGACTGGCTGATGGCACAGCCAAAGAGGAAGCAGCCCACTTGCTTATAGAGGGCTGCCACGTAGGGATTCTGAACTGCTGACCGAGACTTCTCCTTCAGGTAATAGATCCGGTAGAATTCTCCTGTGATGATCTAAAGGGAAACAAGAAGCAGATTAGGCAGTATCAAGACCCATCTTCAAAACGGATGGTGTAAAGAGTATTAAATGACATAGGAGAATATTCAGTATTTACATACCCGTTATAATCTATAAAAGTCCAATTTTCTACGTAAGAAGTATATAGACACAAATATGCACCAGAGGAAAAATCATACTGATAACACAATCATTATTTCTTTTTTTTAAAAAAGTTCTACATGGGGCTGGGGTTGGGGCTCAGTGGTAGAGCACTTGCCTAGCATGTGTGAGGCACTGGGTTTGATTCTCAGAACCACATATAAACAAATAAATAAATGAAGATCCATCAATAACTAATAAAAACACCTAAAAAATATAAAGTCCTACATGGTCACATAATACTTTGTAACAAGAAAAAATTTATAATCAAATATGTATTTGAGAAAATCTCAATGACTCAGGAGGTTAAGGCAGGAAAATTGTGTGTGTGTGTGTGTGTGTGTGTGTGTGTGTGAGAGAGAGAGAGAGAGAGAGAGACAAGGCTCTGCTACAGAAAAAAAAAAAAAGAAGTAAATGAAGAATCAAGGACATGGTTCAGGGTGGCCAGAATGTCAGGGGACCTACAGATCGGAGGTCTCTGAGATATGGGGTAAAGTGTCACCAACAGCACTGACTCTGCTGAGGGCCTGAGCCCCAGTGGCAACATTATACTGTGGTGGGGGTTTCTGCACACAGCAGTGAGTACCCCACAGGCAGGTCCTGAGTCTGAATCCAGGCTCCGCCACCTGCCTGGTGTCCTTAGCACTAACTTAACCTCACTGAACCTCAATCCTTCTCCATGAGAGGATGCTTCTCACCTTTGCAGAGCAGTAGGTTCACAATAACAATGGGTTAATAATAATATGGATGGGAAATGCACCAAGTTATAGAAAGAGATGCTTTTATTTTACTTTTCAGAAGTGTGGTATGGCAAAAGGAACACCAGTCTAAAAATCAAGAGACTTTCAGTATAATGCCTTTGATGCTCATGAATGTCTCTGAGTCAGCCTGTGTTGTCTCCTCAGGTCGCAAAGGTCAGCAAGTGTGTCTAAATTTGCACACCTTCCTCCGTCCCACGGTGTCTGCTACTTGCCTGAAACCGCCTGGTCTTCCGTGCAACACCGGGGCAGCTCTGCTCAGTAAGGTGAATGTGCATAGGTCTGTATATCAGAGGACTTATTTGACGTTGCTGATGCACACCACACAGCCTGCTCCCCTGGTCTTAACTCCACAGCACAGCTGTGGCCACTTCCTGGTTGCAACCACAGCCTGAGGACAGCACTGGTCAACTCATTGCTCACCACAAGAGATCCTTTCCCACTTCCTCCCAGGGCCACACTTGCCCTTTCAGCCAGCAGAGAGCCGCTCATGACCACAAGGGAAGCAATAGACTGGCATATCCGGGCACTCCTTTGCAAAGGCTCCCGTTAGGTTTTCACACTGAGGGAAGGTGTCATAAGGTCTGATCAAGGCCTTCAAGGGCCCCAAAGTCTGTGGAAAGAAAGCAGCATGTAGGACGGAAACACCAGCTGGTCCCAGGGACCAGCAGGTGCAGAAGTGAGAACAGTAACTGCCACTGCAAATGCTGGCACAGAGAGGCTGTGTTGATACATGGGTGGTATCTGTAAGCGCCACTTTGTTTTCCCAGGTCGCGTTGAGTGTGATTCTCTATGATGGGCACATGGGCAGAGGCCAGTCCAAACAGCATCCTGGCCTAGCCATCCCCTAAGACAGGACAACTAATATCTAACCCTACAAAGTGCTCACAGACTGTCACTGAAGGAGCGAATGAAAGGGGAGCAGGAGAGGAGTCCCAGAGCTCCTCCCTGAGAAACTGGAAATATCCTCTGAACGTTACCAAGGGCCCTTTGATAACACGTTGCAAAGATTAAAATCCGAGAAGCATGGCAAGTCAGAAATGAAAGGGACCATTATGTTCAGAAGAAACTGAGGTCCAAATTAACTCACATCTAAAGATTAGACCCAGGTGCACTGACTCCCTGTCCAGCATTCTTTCCTACCGTTCATGATCTAACCCCCTTTTGAACCTGTTTACACTTTTACCCTATGTAACCTTACAGGCTAACGAGTTCCAGATGTTGATTTCCACAATCATGTTCCCCTACCTTCTCATTCTTTTTTATTTATAAATCATCCTCACGTGTCTTATATGCAGGCAAGAACCCTGAAGGAGTCAAGTGGCCAGGGGTGGTGTCCCCACTCCTTGAGTGAATTCAGGGTATCAGGTCCTTCATTTGCAGGATCATGGCACTGGATTCCATGACTTATCCCCCTCATCACCGCAGTGACATTTATTCTCAACTCTCCGGGCCTCCCTCCACCACGAGCTTCCCAACCAGGCAAAGGTGATACCACAGCAGAGGAAGGTTGCTTATGAATAACAGCACAGGCAGGAAAACAGAACCACAGCCCGGACACCACCCCTGCCCCAGGATTGCTCCCGAGTTCCCAGAACCAAGCTGCTGGCTCAGATGAAGAAACTGTTTCTAAGCGGCTTGCTTGAGCAGCCACCAGCATGATTTCCAGCTTGATGCTGAGAGAGGACACGTGGGTTTATATGGCACCTTGACATCTCACATGCACTTATGATTAATCTCAGATGAGTCACTTTTCCGCTTCAGTCACCTCAGGGAGGAGGGATCAATGACAATTCAAGGGCTGTCCCCAGCTCTAAACTCCCATCATTCTACAACTTCCCTCATCACAGCCTCAGTCTTCAATAGTAAATTGTGAATTAAAACCCTTTCTCCTCTCCTGGGGAGATAAAGAGGTAAAAAGGAGTGCATTTCCTGGCACCTCGGCTTCCTAAGGACATTGATAGCAGTCTCTTATTACATCTGCACTTGAGTTTCATCTGGTCTGCAACTCTGCGAAGAAGATAAATCTATTCTAAGCGCTTGGGTAGATCTGAAGGATGTGAGGCTTGTCAATGGTGGAGTTAAGAGGAAAAGTCCAGGTATTGTCTGTCTCTCAGATGCAAAGATCCCCAGCAGTCTCCATCAAGAGAAGTTTATTATTTCTAATGTTTTAAAACCATTTTCCACGGGAAGAACAGCAATTGCGTTTGAGGACAGGGCCAGGCTGAAGCCATTTAGCAGACACATGACTCCAGGACCACATGGCTTCTGGGGCAGCCCTGACAGATTTTGGAGTTAATGAGCAACAAATTATGTATTTTCTCTATCCCCTTGTACAGAAGGGTCGGGGAGTCGGCAACACAGCCATAAATCATCATTATGAACCAGCCGGACTTGGCTTCTTGTAATCCTAACCTTTAAAAGCCCATTTAATGAAATTCGGGCTGTGAAAGGCAGCCCAAACACCGCACCTAGCCTACAGGAGAGGCGAGGGCTTAAATTGTTCTCCGACACGTTACACACTGAACGCTGGAGTCCCAGATTTATAGCTTTCGGACTTTATTCATTACTCACAATGTTTTTATTCCTGGGTCATAAAATGAACTCTTCCCTCCTCTGCCCCCTCCAAAGGCTCTGTCCCCACCCCCCAGGGCCCTCATTTCTGCCTCAGTCAGCAAGGCTCTGATATGTAAATTTCACTGCAGAGAAAAATGCCTTCAATGTGGAGGCCTTTCAGGAACAGCCAGCCACAGATCTGGGGGTGGTGGCAGGCTGCCAGGCGAGCGGGGCTTCTCCCTACCTGCCTGTTAAAGCCCTTGGCACAGAGGCTGGAAACTCATAAAGTGGGGAAGCACAGCAGTTCAGCTAGGAGGGGACAGAACGGGACCCGTCCTTGCCTGCCAGCGGCTGCAGTTGGTGGGGACCCTGTCTCCTGGAGTGAGGAGCTGCTCTTCCTGTCTCTTCTGGTGAAAGAGAGTTCAGCTGCCCACATATTTACAAATACTCAACTGTTCTGGAAAGGAAATTTGAAGAAACTTAGGAGCGATTTTTTTGGAAAGGACAGAACATGGGATGGTGAGAGAAGCACTGATTTGGGAAAGAAAAATCTGTCTGAGTCCCATCTCTTACTTTAGGCCAAGTGACTTCACCTCTCTGGGTTTAGGGGACCCTACCTATAAAATAAGATTAACAATATCTGCCTAGCAGGACTGCATCTTCAATAAGGTGATATGCCAACTGCCTGGCACCTAACACCTTCCAAAATTGTGTGTGTGTGTGTGTGTGTGTGTTTTTTCCTCCTTCCACTGGAGACAAGAAAAACAAAACAGGGCTGAAGATGAGGCTCAAGCGGTAACGTGCTCGCCTGGCATGAGCGGGGCGCTGGGTCCGATCCTCAGCACCACATAAAAATAAAATAAAGATGTTGTGTCCACCGAAAACTGAAAAATAAATATTAAAAATATTCTCTCTCTCTCTCTTAAACAAAAGAAAGAAAGAAAAACAAAACAAAATCTAACACGTACTTCCTAGGGAATATCTCTTCCAAGATACTTCCAAGAGTTCCTTGAAAGAGAGCATTCCAAACTGAAGAGTTTGGAAGTGTTGCTCCTCCAGGGTAGAAGCACATAGTGTGTATGGATGATATAATACTGTTTTGGGTTTTTTGTTTGTTTGTTTTTGTTTTTTGGTAGTGGGGATTGAACCTAGGGGCACTTAATCACTGAGCCACATCCCCAGCCCTTTTTTATAATATTTTATTTAAAGACAGGGTATCGCTGAGTTGCTTAGGGCCTCACTGCTGAGGCTGGCTTTGAACTCACGATCCTCCTGCCTCAGTCTCCCAAACCACTGGGATTACAGGCATGCGCCACCACATCCTGCAGATGATGCAGAGTTTTGACCATTTCATCTAGGATGTCTTTTTCAGGGGAACTAAACAGATGGAAAGAAAGCCAAAGCAGAAAGGATAACCCACACTACCATCTTGTTTTATTTTTGACTTTCTACTCTATTTAGAATAAAGTACCCCAAGAAAGGTAACGTTTTTGCAGTGTCCCAACAATTTCTCTCTGAGAACTCATCTTCTTCCCTTGCTG